CCCCCCGGGGGCCCCTGGGGGCCCCCAGGGGAGCCCCCAGGGGGGCCCCCCGGAGGAGCCCCCTCAGGGGGGGCCCCCTGATGCGCAGGACTTGCAGATCTAATGTCGTTGAGGTCCAGAGTTTGTTTTTCAATTTGTGTTCTGTAACATCTGTAAACAATTACTCTTCCGTTTTTTTGTGCTGCTGCTAATAAAATAAAATCTGCATTTTCTCTTTCAGCTCCGAAGGCCAAACAAGTCACCGCGTCCCGGTCTTCTTCCCGCCCCGGCTGCGCAGCAGCAGCAGCAGCAGCAGCAGCAGCAGCAGCAGCAGCAGTAGCAGCAGTAGCAGTGTTGGCAGGTTGAGGGGGAGGTGGCAGCACGGGAGCAGCACCAGCAGTAAGTACCACGCAGCAGCAGCAGCAAAATAAATAACACGAATTAATAACTTAAATTAAATTAAATTAATTAAATAAATAAAATAAATAAATAATCAGTAAATGACTAACTTGAATTTCGACAACAGGAACGACTCCGTCGCAGGGCGAGTTGCGCTGGGGTGTATGTACAGCTGGCGGCACCGACGGATGCAGAAAGGAAAGTTCACTTTGAATTTTGAAATTTCTTTTTGCAATTTCTCCATTAGCTTTTCCAGTTGCAATAAAAGACCGAATGGAGTCGACAAGAGAAGCAGAGAAGGAGCTGGAGCTGCGCAGCAGCCGCCCCGGCAGCAGGCTCGACGCGCCCCTGCTGCTGCTGGTGCTGCTGCTGCTGCTGCTGCTGCTCAGCCGCTGCTGCCGCAGCGCTGCTTCCGTTTTGCTGCGCCGCTGCAGCAGCAAAGCCCCGGAAAGCCCCAGCTGTTCGTACACCGAAGATAACTCAAACAAACTTTTGTAGTGGCAGCCCAAAGACGCAGCTGCGCGCAACAAAACCCCAAACCCTAAACCCTAAACCCTAAACCCTAAAGTACACGTCGCAAGCCCTGTTCCTTAAAACGAGCCTGCAGCAGCAGCAGCAGCAACTTCCAGCGAGCAACAGCACCAGCAGCAAAAACCTGGGAATCTGCAGCAGCGCGCTCTTAAGCCCAAACTCTAAACCCTAGCAAACCCTAATAAACCCTAGCAAACCCTAGCAAACCCTAGCAAAGCTAAACCCTCGGAGAAGCTGACCTGCGTCTCTGGCGACCTGTGGGTCGACTCTGCCTGCGTCGGGGTCTGCTGCTGCTGCTGCTGCTGCTGCTGGTGCTGCTGCTGCTGCGTTGTTTTCGACGAGCAGCAGGCGCAGCAGCGCAGCAGAGTCGCCGAGCTGCGGCAGCAGCACTTCTTTGAAAAGCGACAAGAGAGACACAAACCCTTTTTTGTGGTTTGGATTAAACACCATGCACAAAAAGCTGCAGTGCAGCAAACGCTGTCTGAGGGTTTCCAAACACTGCGGACTCCAATCAAAGGTGAAGTACAAAACCACCAAGCGCGGGCACTGCACCTGCGACAAACACTAAACCCTAAACCCTAAACCCTAAACCCTAAACCCTAAACGCCAAACCCTCAACCCTCAACCCCAAACCCAAACCCTACACTCTCAACCCAAAAGCCTAAACCCTAAGCCCTAAACCCTAAACCCCAAACCCCAAACCCTAAACCCTCAGCCCTCGGGTCTGAGTCCTGGGAAGCACTAGGACAAACTAGCGGACCCTCAGCAACAGGCCCAAGGACAAATCCACCAGCAGCAGCAGCAGCAACAGCAGCAGCAGCAGCAACAGCAGCAGCAGCGACAGAAGCAGCAGCAAGAGGGGCGAACCTTGACGAGAATTTCGAACCAACCCTCCTTGTCGTACGTGCCCTGCTGCTGCAGCAGCTCCTGCTGCTCCTGCTGCTGCTGCAGCTGCTGCTGCAGCTGCTCCTGCGCGTGGGTGTCTCCTAATTGCTGCAGCAAAGCTTCCAGAATTTGTCTCTTGCCAACTCCTTTGGGGCCCAGCAGCAGCATGTCGATAAACCTGCGATCGCAGACGGGGGGAACACCTGCTGCTGCTGCTGCTGCTGCTGCTGCTGCTGCTGGTGCTGCTGGACTTTCCTCTGCTGCTGCTTCTGCTCCTGCTGCAGGAGCAGCAGCAGGCCCCTGCGACCTCTCCACAGCGCTGTCTTCCAGCACGAGCTTGTACTTAGCTTCTGCTACTTGCCGCTGCTGCTGCTCCTGCTGCAGCTGCTGCTGCAGCCGCTGCACCTGCTGCTGCAGCTGCTGCAGCTGCTGCTGCTGCTGCTTCTCTCGCTCTGCTGCTTCTGCTTCTCTTTGTTCAAACAAAACTTTTAAATCACTTATTTCCAAACTGCTGCCTCTCCGGGGCCCATGGGGGGCCCCCAAGGGAGGCCAGTGTGCTGCTGCTGCGGGGGGCCCCCACGGGGGGCCCCCACCCTCCTCTGCTGCTGCTGCTGTTGGTGCTGCTGCACTGCTTCCCGTCAGCAGCAGCCGCAGGCTTTCCAGCTGCTTCTGCTGCTCGCTGAACATGTCTGCAGCAGCGGCGAACGCACACCAAAACAAAACCCTAAACCCTAAACCCTAAACCCTAAACCCTAAACCCTACTCGGCGAAGACTGGGTCTACCACGGCAATATTCGTAGGCCCAGAAGAGAGTGTACTGCAGCTGCAGCAAAATCCAGGAGGCATCAGCAGCAGCAACAGCAGAAGCAACAGCAGCAGCAGCTGCTGCGGCAATATCAACAGCAATAGCAGCAGCAGCAGCAGCAGCAGCACCTGCTTTGGCTTTGTATTCAGCTTTTAATTCCTTCTTCTCCTTAGTCGCCTGTTGCAGCTGCTTCTGCAGCTCGTCAGCACGGGCCTGAACAGCAGCAGCAGCAGCAACAGCAGCAGCAGCAGCAGCAGCAGCTCAGCGCAGCGTCAACAGCAGTAGCAAAGCTTGTTGCATCGATATCATCAGCAGCATCAGTAGCAGCAAACCCGGGAGCAACTGCAGCAGCAACTGGAGCAACGGCAGCAGCAGCAGCAACTAAGCCAACAGAGTAACACCGCCACCTGCAGCAGCAGCAGCAGCAACAGCAACAGCAGCAGCAGATCTGACCTGCTGCTGCAACTCTCGAGTTGCTGCCTCTTCCGCCTGCTGCCGCGCCTCCGACAACTCTTGCTTCAAGCCCTGCAGCAGCAGTAGCAGCAGCAACAGCAGCAGCAGCAGCAGCAACAGCTGCATCATCGAAGCTGATCGCTCCACTTCGCCCGCCGCCCCCCATCCCCCATTTATTTATTTATTTACTTTTATTTATTTATTTATTTATTTATTTATTTATTATTTAAATTACCTGCACCAGTTTGACCAGCCCCGCCACATCTCTGGCTTCGGCTTTGAGGCGCCGCAGCTGCCGCAGCGCCAGCAGCCGTTTCCATCTGCAGCAGCAAATAAAAAGAAACTAAATATTTATTTTTAGTTTTTTCTTTCATTTTTATTTTCTAGTTTTGTTTGTTTTGCGCATTTTGGCATTTAAACCAATTATTTACTCCGCTTATTAGCTGCGCAGCAACTCCAAGCAGTTTGCAGCAGCAGCAGCAGCAGCAGCAGCAGCGCCACCACTGCCGGCATTCTCTGCAGCAGCAAAAGCACCCCTACTAGCCTTAGCAGCAGCAACAGCAGCACCTACACTAGCCTCAGCAGCAGCAACAGCAGCAGCAGCAGCTCTACCACCACCAGCCTCAGCTCAGCACCAGCAGCAGCAACAGCAGCAGCAGCACCACCACCACCATTCCAGCAGCAGCAGCAGCACCACCACCACCACCCCTTCAGCAGCAGCAGCAGCAGCAGCAGCAGCACTAGCAGCAGCAGCAGCAGCAGCAGGAGGTATACCTGAGTTGGGCGAGGACAGTTGCCTTTTTGAGGGCGAGGAAGTTGTGTCTTTGCTGCTTCATCCGGAATGCTGCTTGAATCTTTGCTGCTGCTTGCTGCTGCTGCTGCAGCGAAAGAGACACTTGGCGGCGGTGGGCTCTGTAGGCCCTTTGAATCAAAACTATTTGTTTCCTCTTTCTGCAAAACACAACACTTACTATTTATTTATTATTTATTATTTATTATTTATTTATTATTTATTTATTACTTATTTATTTATTTATTTATTTATTTATTTATTTGTCTTTTATTTGATCCGTTTGGCTTCTTATTTGGCCACTTATTTGCCTTTCGAGGTCTCCGGCGGCACCGGGCGAAAACAGAAAAAACAAAAAATAAAACAAACAAATAGAACAAATAAATAAATAAATAAATAAATAAATAAATAAACATAATTAGTTAATTAATTAAAAGAAAGAAATAAAAGGAGAAGCGGAAAAGAGGTGGGGGGCGCTGGCGCTGGCGTGGGGTGTATGTACACCTGAGGAAGGCGTTTCTGTCCCGGATCATTTTGAAGAAGTTTTGAATTAAAATGGACTTTTCATTTTTGAGGATTTTTTCCTTTTTGAGTTTGGCGAGCCAGGCCCTGACGGCGCGCTGCAGCAGCAGCACGCAGCGCCGCAGCAGCAGGAACAGCTGCTGCTGCTGGTGGCCGCGGTAGGCCGCCTGCACCTTGGTTGCTGCTGCAGCACGAGCAGCAGCAAGAGCAGCAGTTAGAACAGAATAGCTTTCGCGTTTGAAGAAGCAAAGAGTTTCCCCGACAGCCCACGTGCATGCGGGAGCAGCAGCAGCAGCCGCCGCCGCCGCGGCCGCCGCTGCTGCTGCCTGCGGGCCCCCCGCCGCCGCCGCAGCAGCAGCAGCAGCAGCAGCAGC